ATTATTTTTATAGTGCTGATTACAAAAAAAATTACCCATTAACAATTAATATTTGATAGTTTTAGAGCTATTGATTTATCCAATTTCTATACATATATTTTATGTTACTCAACTTAAAAACATGGGTAAAAAATATTAATTTTGGTTTTTCAGTATCTTTGTAATGTTTTTCATTTATATTAATTTCAGCATTATTTTTTATAGTGCTGATTAAAAACAAAATCACCCATTTACAATTCATATATTTGATAGTTTTAGAACTATTGATTATTTCTATACATATATTTTAAGTTAATCAACTTAAAAACAGTGCTCCAATGTATTCATGCAAACATTATAATTTAAAATAATCATTACTTCACAGTAAACCAAATTACTGAATATTAATTTCACCACCAAACCATATCAACACATTTGGAAGATACACAAAATTAGAAATATATCATTTTAATCTCTTAAGTTTTCATAAAAATAAAATAAAAAGAGCCACCAAGGATACTGAAGAGCTGTGCACCACGCGTTACACTGAAAACCATCAAATCTTCGGCCAGACTCAGAACAGTGCCACTGAAAATATTTGTCACGTCCCACACTTAGTACCCATTCAGTGATTAGTGAAAATACAACTCCAGTCACACGGGCTTGATGTGCTAAAGGCAGAATGCTATTATTTATGCATTTCTAATATTCATTAGAAATTTTGGTGAAATTCCAGAAATATATACTTTCAACATGATTTTGTTCAAAAAACCATTTTTACATCAAAATGTCTTTTGAATAAGTACCCCTTGCATCACATATTAAATAACCAAGATATTTTAAGCTACCTCAACAACCATGTCTCAGCAAAAACAAATCTTGAATCTATTAAGCACATTTTGAACACTGGTAGAAGGGAAAGGTGCAGAGATAAACAATTAGTTAAGTTTTGCTATAAAAATATAGAATTTTTTTAAAGACTTTCTTACCAGTTCCATTGTTTTACACAAAAATTCCAGTTAGTTAAAAGGAGGAAGGGAAAAACATAGAACTCTAAATTTCCCCACGACTTCCAGATTTTCTAGATCTGGATACTTTCATGTAGAAAACACTGATATTTCAACTTTTTTCCATTATCTTCCACCATTAACATCAAATTAGCTTGTAATCCTGTTATAAAGGGTAATAAAAACTCTTGGACACATTTTGCACATGCTGTGGTACTACAGAAATATCTTCAAGCATGGACACTGCAACTAAATGTAAACAATAAAATGTTGAATTTTTACTTACAAAGGACTATCTGATCTAACTTATAATGAATTAGATAGTTATTACCAGACAAAATAATATAGGGTGACTGGGCAAGATTATGTTAAAGTATACCAATAATTGGCATAGCTAAGCAGCTAAATTTGCATGTGCATACAAATTTTGAGATAGGGGCACAATTTTCCCCAACTTTCTTTCTTTCTTTTTTTTTTCCATTTTGGGGTTACTTTTCAAATTTCCTTAACATTTAGTTTCCTTTTTTTGAAATTACACAACTTTGTGACTAACCCTGAACAAGCAACAGAACATCTGTCCATGCATTATATCTATTAACTAATGTACATCTGCAGTGATATACATGCTTCAAAAAAGTGAAATATATCAAAAATCACCTTGGCCTACAAATGTTGTATAGCCAAAATTGAAGATAAAAACCTAAAAGAAGCTACCAGCCAAAACAAGATTGTCAGACCTTTTCACATAAAAGTAATTTGAACCATCCTATCAAGAATATAAAACCACCTGGCAAAGAAATGGTTCAACTGTGAAAAAAAGTAAAAAACTGACACAAAACAGTCACAGAAATATAAATCCAAAATCCAGGCAGACCAGTTAATCAAAAAAGCATTGACAACTAGAGAATAAAAGAAAACTTGAGCAAAATATACACTTGCCAGAAGCAGCCAAAGATCACAACACTTATTCAGCCCTTCATGTTTGGTTCTCACAAAAGACAGTTTCAGATAATCAAAACCACTCCACAAAAACAGGAATGAAAACACTCCCACCATAAAAAAATTAAACTTTAAATCTTAAAACAACTAGAAACTAAAAGAGGGGGGTTACAGATATAGGCTCATTAATTTAAGCCTAGGTGTCTGTCCTTCATTTAATCTTTTTAAACAAAAGGTTTAACATTAATAACATATAATAAGCTGACTTGATATACTTTGGCTATTCACATATACCATACATACATTATATATATTTGGAAGTGTTACTTTCATTATAAGAACTTTAACATAACAAATAGAAAAGTGGATAAGAAAATATAACTAAATGATGCAAATAGTTATTTCAGATGTGTGAAATTAAGAAATTGGGGGTCCAGAATTTCCTAAGACCAGGAAGTTCAAGGGGATGATCAGACTAATAATTGCATGAATTTATACAAACTAATTCAAAAATGTAACTCACACAAAGACTACACACTGGAAATGTATTTCTGATACATACTTACCACCTCTCACAAAATAGCCTTTCTTGACTAGTACTGCTCTATATCAATGCCAATTTCCAATGCACACCACCAGCCTTCTACATCCCACTTCTGCATATCCACATGTAAATGATAGTGCAGCAGCTCTTCACCATATAGGAGTGTGACACCATACCTATTGTTACTCATTAATTACTTCAAGATTGGTCAGAAGACCTACACCACATATAATCAAAAATGGGGAATCTATCGGAAATACATTTTCAGTGTAGGAAAATGCTAACTTCCGATACAATATTTTACATCTTCTCACAAAATAGTTAGAGTTCCACATTGAACTGGTGGATGGCCAATAAAGAAAAAAATAGATCCCCCTTTAGTAAGTGCTCAAAGAGAGACCAGGATGTGTGGAACCAGAAGAGAAAACATTACATCTCAGGGGTAGACTACACCACATGATCAGGTATACTCTTTGCTCTTTAATGACAGTGTCTTGAACATAAAAAGCAGAAAAACATTAAGGAATCCCAGAATATGAAAGACCGATGAATGGGACTCCAGGATGTCAAGTGGCTAAATCACAACGGACCGCAGTGGTAGTTTAACCTCGTCTAACACCAGATAGTATCTGGAATGGTATGAGATCCACAGTAGGTAGAGGATCACCTACCTCTTCACCTCGAAACAGGAAATGGTAGAGAAGATGAGTTTCCATACCAAAATCCATCACCACTCGCATGCATTTCCAACAATTAACACCAGATCCACCAGGAACTGACATCCAGCAGGTGGTAAGAAGATGGAGTGTAAAACTGGGGTACATCTCCAGTCCAAAGCCTGGCAGAAGTGGCCATTTGTCATCCAGTCCATAGATGGAGGAGGAATACTGGCCAGTACACATCTCCAATCAACACTGGACCCACCTGGAATGTACATCCAGAGAAGGAACATCTCAGCCTGAGTGGCAAACTGCATTTATTTATTTACTTATGACAGGACATCTGAAATTGTACATCAGGTCAATGGTAGGAAGGGTGTCATGCCATCTACACATGATACTAATCACAACCGGTCCATTTCCAACCAAAGCCACACCCACCGGGAATGTACATCTGGAGGATGGTAGGAAGGAGGAATGCCACAGTAAGAAAAAACAATCGGACAGACATAGACAGGAATACGGTGTAGTTCTACAACCAAACATTGGCAACATCTGGAACTATACCTCAGGTCCATGGTAGGAAGTGCTATATGCCAGCGACACCTGCAGAATGCCACTGCCCTACTCTCAACTGAGTGGTATGATTCATCACTCAGGAGAACAGGCCTCCATGGTACATCACCCCAGTGGCTAGGAACTGGTAAGTGGTATGGACTCCCATACTCCACTAGAAGAAAGGAGGGAAAAAATATGTTGTAGAGCCTGGAGGACAGCATCACAGAGACAGTTGAATGGGTGACCACAATTCCCTATTTTGAAAAGCAGAGCTACCATGTTGTCGGAGTCAATAAACCAAAACCAGGTAGCATCTGGAAATGTACATCAGGTCCATGATAGAAGGAGACTCAATGCCAGGGAGCAGCAGAGATGAGCAGCAATCTCTGTCCGTTTTACTCATGTTAGTCCACGAGCGGATGGTCTGGAACAAACATATTTATGAAGCAAAAAAACCACTAAAGAGAACTACTAGCAGTCCTATAGAACACCCCATCTCTATATGTTACATAATCCAAACATTAAATGTAATTGTTTAGTCATAGATAACAATAAAACGGAGACACTTGACCAATACCTGGTGGCATCTGGAATTGTACATCAGGTCCGTTGCAGGAAGGGCTACAACATAATTTACATTAAAAGGCTGCCATGTCACAATTCAAAATGAGGAAATGATGATAAAAGAAAAATTTACAAAGATGTTAAAAGTAGGCTCACCTAGAACTTGGTGGAGAGAACTGCTATAAATTCTCATGAAAAGGAGGCTTTGTTCCAATACAGTATATTAACTCTGCTCACAAAATAGGTTTTTCTCGACTAGCACTGCCCTCTATCTGCACAGAGTTTCAACACATGCCACTAGCCTTCTACCTCCAGCTTCTGCATATCCACATGTAAATGATAATGAAGCAGCTCTCCATTAATATGAGCATGACACCACTCCAATCATAACCAGTGCCCTCTTCACATCTATACTTGTTAATCACTACTCAATTGACAGTACTTATTGTACATGTGGGCTGGTTTTTGCTCATGGATTTGTCATTGTTTTCTGTTATACTACCGACTTTGTTTTTCTTTACATTTTTGCATTTTGGTATTGTGTAAGGTTTCTTTTTCTTTTAAAATGTTTCAGGAGCATTTTTGCTATTTTATTGTGGATCCCACTCTGTGGCAAGTGGTGTTTGACCTGGTATACTTTTTTTTTAAAATCTGCACTGTTCATCCTGCGACCATGCGTGCAATGCCAACCAGAACAACTGTAAGACCCAGAGCAGTAATGGTAAGCTATTGCACTGTTGTAATACATGTTGTCATTAATGTTATGTTAACTGTTCAATATTGTTTTCAGATATAAAAAATAAACCTTTCTGCTGATTTTTTCCCATGGCTTTAGCAACAAACTGTGATTAACCTTAACTATTATAATAGAGTTCACTAAAAAGAAAAAAAAAGCAGAAACATGCAATTCCACAGAATATTTTCCTATATATTAAACAAGACTAAGAAAAGCAGAACTTTCAGTCATTCTAGTTTAGAAACAGAGCAAGAAGCATTGTAGCTCAAACAAGAATGACTTAAATTCATCCAAAGAACAAAATCACAAAAATCTAAGGCAAGCATAAGAACTCCTTTTCTTGAAATATTTCTAAAAAGTTAAAATGTGAGGGAGTTCTACATAGAACTGTTAGCAATCCAAGATTTAATGAAGCCAAACCAAGGTATACAAGTTTTATCATCTTAAGTATCCTGTTTAAGAAACTTTCTCTACAGAAATTTTGTTTTAGCCAAAAACTATGAAGGATAATAACTAAAAGAAGAGGGTGAATCTAAGTATCGACTCTTCAGGTAATAATTGATTCCTAGGATAATGTGAATGACCTGCAAGAGAAGGTTTTGAGATAGATACAAGACAAAGAGCACTATCAAACTTGGCCTACACTAAGGGCTCAAATTGTTCAAGTATAAGCAGGATGAACGAGAGAACATTTTCAGTTACGAGTTGAAATATAAAGTTGGAGGAGCTTGATTTGAACTTAAAATGATGTAATGGAAATTAAGTTTTAGTAAAAACTTGTATTTTCATAAACTAAAAGTAGTTAATTCTACTATTATTTGAGAGAAGTTTGTTTGTCCTACAAAATCCTAAGAGGAGTTAGATTTAGCTTAGTCAACTAGGACTGATTCGGGATATGTCAAGAAGTTATTTTTCTTCTAACTTTTAAAATGCATAGATTTTATAGCCCCAGTTATGGATAAATAGAGATCAGTCAAAAGGGGTGGCCACTAGGGGTACTTTTAATCATTACTGACATATTAAAAACAAAAACAGAAACACTATTTATATTCATAAGTGGTAAAACATTAATTTTACAACTTCATTTCATTTTAAAACCCCATTAATGATTTGAGGGATTTCATTTTCACACATTGTTTCAAGATAAACACACTTTTATTAAGTGATATACTTTTAAGTCATATGTTACTTATTGCTTTTCAATAAAAAAACTAAGATAGAAAATAAAATGTTATTTAAATAACCAAGTCCAGTGGACATGAATAATGTTATTCTCATGTAATTTCAAATCTTTACATTGTCACTCGTATATTCAGGAAAAACAAAATACATTTTATATCCATAATTATTAAAAATTATTTCCAAATCTCGTTAATCATGTGAAGGATTTAACATTCATTGATAAAAATACCTCGTAACAATAACTATCTCACCATGCATTGCACAGGTACATCTGCTAGTAACTTGAATTTGTTAGAATCAAAATGAAATCCACACACACACACCTACAACTTGAAGAGTAAAATTTATCTTAATATTAAAATCACAGTAAAAATAAATACTGATACAAGACACAAAATGATTATGACAATGCTAACAGAAAAGGAAAATAAATAAATAAAACCTGCACAGTATTGGGTAGGACTTAAATTGGAAGATTTTGATACCAATGCAACCTAATAAATTATGTGTAGTGTGTATATGTGTATGGAGAGCTCCATGAAGTTAAGTGACATCACAATAGAAAAAAAGATGATTTACTAAACAATGTTTAAAAAATTCAATGTGAATGATTTCATTCAGTAGCTTTTCATCAGTTTAACAATAAAAACATTATTTCATGCCATTATAATAGGGTGGTTCTTATTTTTGAAGTTTGATTTACAACACTCTCACCCGATCATTTTTGTTCCAATATATATAAATAAGTAATTCACACCAAATTTTATCTATACTGAATAACATTTAGGGGTTGCTAAAGGTTGTTGAAATTTGGATAGTATGGACAGGAAGTAATATGCACAGTAAAGAACAGCAGACCTTGAATAAAACTGTCAGATGATTGGAATCATTACACAGCAAGGATGATGAAGTTGGTAGATAGAGTACCAATAACAATGATGAAGACAGAGAAGCAATTGGAGAATCATCATCTTCTAAGCCTAAAAAAGAGGGCAAGAAGAAATATCACTCCAAATCTAGCAGCAGCTGTAGACAGAACTAAGTTGGGTGGCATAAAGACATCATTTGTCCCTACTGCACAGCTTGCAGCCTTTGTCGTGATGTGAAGGAGCTAATCATCAACCATTCCTTAATCCGAAGATCTCAATATTACTTCCGTGAAGAAGTTGTCAAAAACTTAAAAGGAACAATTCCAGCCAACAGTCTCACTTGTAGTTCACTGGGATAACAAGCTATTTAATGACCTCAGAGGGAAAGAACAAGTGGATCATCTGTCAGTGATTTTGTCTGAAGCAGGAGTAAACCAACTCCTAGGTGTTCCAAAGTTGATTTACAGTACTGGAGAAGCTCAAACTTCTGCTGTGGCACATTTACTGAAAAAGTGGGTAGTCATTGATCATATAAAGGCAGTTTGCTTTGACACAAAAGCAAAGTAACACTGGTCACAGAAATGGAGAATGTGTGCTCTTAGAACAAAGATTAAACAAGTATCTTCTGTATTTGGCATGCTAGCATCATATCTTAGAACTTCTTCTGGCATGTGTTTTTAAAGACTGTATACGGCTTCCCTCTGATCCAAATTTTGCAATTTTAAATTTAATACAGCAATTTTGGAAATACATGGACCAATCCAGTTATGAACCTGCAGCTGAGTATGATGAAGTAGCAGAAGCCATAGAAGTTAAGGATGATGTCACTGAGTTTGCTACAAGACAACTTCAGGTCAGCCAACCTAGAGATGATTATTGAGAGCTTATTGACCTGACTATAACCTTTCTTGGTGGCATCCCTCCTCATGAAGTGCAATGTATAGCATCTGGGGCACTGCATCATGCACAACGAATGGCCAAAGCATTATATACTCTCAAGATCTAGATCTTTATGGGACAGTTTAAACTCACTGGCTGCATGGAAGGAGAACTACACAACATCTGCATGTTTGTTGTTTAAGTCTATCTAAGGGCATGGTTCACTGCTCATGATGCCATTTCTGTTTCTTGCAATGATCTTAACTTCCTACGAAGTCTTGTTGAATATAAGAAGGTGAAATCTGCTCTTTCAAAATCTGCCTGTGAAAAATTTGCAGGACATTTATGATATCTCAATGAGAAACTCGTTGGTTTGTCATTTTCCTATTCAGCTTTATCCACAAAGATAAAATAAGCAACAGTAAAGGTACTGAATGAAAAGAAAGTGAAAAATGAACCTCTAAAGCACATCCAGCTGAATATCATAAAGTCTGAGGATATGTCAATTGAAGGTTTCATCACAAAAAACAGACTTCTTCAGGTGCCTCAAAAATTCCATCTTGGATTATTGACCCTAACTGAACGTGGTAAATGACAATACTGAAAGAGGTCTGGCCCTTACTGAGGAGTATAATGCCTTCATAACAAAAATAAAGAATAACAGAAACAATTTTGCTTTTAAGTTGTGCAGGATCATAGAGGATGCTTTCCTAACAGCCAAAAGAAAGCATATAATTATGTAATTATATTATTGTACATGAATAATAATAAGCTTTACATAAATTACTTTTGTATGTCACACAATGCACACTGTGCCAGGCCACTGCAGTATAGAACTTAACATCATTGAGCAACCTCTAGTTTAAAATGAATAAAGTTTGACATTTAACTTTTTTGTCTGTTTGTTTTTTACACTGGAACAAAATTAGGGGATGAGAGCTTTAGAATTTTTAACCTGAAATTTTTCTTGCAAATAAGGACCACCCTACATTGCACCCTCTAGAGGGTGCTAAGAACTTTACAAAATGATCTTAGAATGCTTAGATTAAAAATGAACTGCTTGATTAAGCAATGGTTCAACTGAGATCAGAGCATTCCATCGTTGTGTGTGTGTGTGTGTGTGTGTGTGTGTGTGTGTGTGTGTGTGTGCTAGTTAGGTTGTATTACTAAATCTATAGATAACAAGTAAATTT